CCGAGACTATTGTCTTTCTGGACAGAGGTGAGGCAGATATCCCAAAAATTTACGGATCACCAAATCCTGGACGACCCAGCATTCTTTCTCCTCCACCATAACCATTTTCCACTGAAGGGGTACTCCCGTTCAGTCCTGGTACAATTACTAAACCCGGCACGCGCATGCATACCGCTGCTGTGGAAACAGGAAGCCCCACCCTCGATTAAACTCTGGTTTACCAAAATAAACGACATTCGCACCATGGAGGACCTTACCAGCTCCATCAAGGGTACCTCCTCCAAATTTGCAACCACCTGGTTCTATTGGAATGAATTCACCAAAACAGCAGAATACCGTACCATCATGGCCTCTTGAGTAGAGTCCGCCATAACACCCTACCCTAGGTCCATCCCTCTATTATGTCCTGTCTGCCCCCAAACCCCCCCTTACCTTCCTCCTAATGTTTTTCCCTCCCCACACCCTCGGTCCCGCCCCAGAAACCACATCCTGGGTACCAGTAATGTAATGTCTACCACGCTGGGCCGAACCTCAGATGCCGACGTGCCGCAACCTTCTGCTCATTCCAAGGTATTGCACACCGACTAACCCAAGGCATGTTACTCAGGTCTACAGAGTCTCACCACGCTCTGCATGGGTTTTTTTTTTTTTGACCAAGGTTGTTATGTGTTTCCTTTCTTTGTACAAGATTGGTTCTGTTTTCTTTTCTCATCCCAATTTTGTACTGACTTTATTTGTGTTTTTTTTTTCCTCCTGTCATGTCGACAAAACTGACAAATAAAAGAATTTGTAAAAAAAAAAAAAAAGATAGGGGACTGTAGGTTTGTTCTTAAGTTGAATTTGTACGTAAGTTGGAACAAGTACATTTTTGATCTGGTACTCCAGCCAAAATTTTTTTTTTTTTAGTTCTGGATAGCATACGGAAGAGTTAACCTTGTTTTGCTGTCCTCACACTGGCTCAAATCCCACACCATACTAACCAAAACTAAAAAAAAATAATTTGCATGGAATTCTAAGTTAAATGCAACTTGGACAGATGTTTGTACAATTTCCTGTAATGTACAGTACCAGACCCGGAAGAAGAGGCAGGCACTCCTCGTCTGCACGTCTAACAACTTCCTGTAATGTACAGGAGGTGCAGTACTATGAGTCGTACGTAACTCGGATGTTCGTAACTCGGGGACTGCCTGTATTCTAAACATTAGTCATGACTACATTGCTACAGGGTAAAATCTTTGTTGTTTGCTCTATGTATTACATAAAATTATAAAAATGCTATTCTTCTATTTCTTAGTACCCTTTAGAAAATACAGTATATAAAGTACATTTATATGTCAAAGTTCATCAGTCATTAAGATAGACATTGTTGTGTTGGAGAGCAAAGGCTTTATGAGAGGAGGATCTTATTTCTCTGTAGGATACAACAAGATTTTATCACTTCACAATAGAAAATGATTTTACAGTATATCATATGTATTTTTAAAGCTGAGCCAAGGCTGAGACTGCTTCTTCATCCCCAAGGTGATAGGGAAAAATATACATTTAAAAAAGCTGAAATGTCAGTGATCATTCACTTTTCCAATGCTGCAACAGCTGATTTGAATATTGTATATAATTTATTAACATTTAAAAATGGGAAATATATAGAAATCATTGATACAGATGCCAGTTCTTTAAAAAGGACTCCAGGAACGGGTATTTATTTCAAAACCATCCCCTGAACAAAATTCCACGCCCATATCAGAGAAGCAACAACACAATAAAATGCATTGTGTTGCATGTGTTATTAAAACGCACCCTGGTGCGAATAGGTATTTTATTTTAATCTGATTGGTAGCCATGAGGTACTTTTTAGTCCTGGCAATTAATATATCAGAAAATCTGTAAGGCAGAAGGGAGCCTACAGTTGGTGTGTTTGGAAACAGTAATACTGCATTACAAGCAGTACGCTAAACGGGTTTCCAGATGGCCAACAAAATGCTGTGAGGTAGCCTGGTGCACCACAGCCATACCTGCATAATAATTTGAAGTCTTGGGCTGGGAGGCAATGCACCCTGTATTCCCGTTGAGGCTTAATTTGATGTGAACGGGGCCTTAAGGGTTAACTCTTAACTCTTTTAAACATTTTATCCCCACACAGCTACCTCCTCATGTATCACTTGCCCCTCCATTTTAGATTGTAAGCACTCAGGGGCAGGGCCCTCCTTATCATCTTGAATTGTATTGTGATTGTAAATGTCTTCCTTATAGTGTAAAGCGCAGCTCAAACTGTTGGCGCTATATAAATTCTATATAATAATAATAATAATAATAGTAACTCCTGAGTTTAGTGTCACTTTAATACTTGGCAGAGAGTTATAGGCCAAGAGTTTGCTTCAGTTTTGACCAACAAAACAATCAGATGTGGCAAGATGTGGCTTGCTTTAAAACCCAACTCCTGCTTACCAGTGTAAATACTTTTTAAATTCCCTGTGCATTGTTAAAAAGTGCTACTTTTTCTGCAATACTGGCCTTTGTCTTCAGCAAAAAGTCAGCTGATTTCAAACAGCCACCACCACACTTCTGTGTTGAATGCCGCCCAGCCTCGCCCAACCTGGAAGTCAGCCTTAGCCTATCCTTAGGCACTAGAGGCACATACACATCATTGCTGTGTGACATGTGTGCCGAACTACCCCACCTATATGAGGTCCCTGGACCTCCATACTCACCGGTTTGCGGTGAGTATGAATGGAATATTGAAAAAAGAATGTGCAGGGAGTGGGAGAGAAAGTGATTAAGAATGTTTTTAAACTTTGTGTGACAACAAGTCCCCCATGTAGGAATATGTCTAACCTGGACTTTTAGTATATAGGCATACCTCTCAACTGTCTATCATTTGGAATCAAATCCCTCTGACCCCCTTTCCTCCTCAGTTGTCCCTCTTTTTGGTCTGCTGTACAAATCTCTATAAAAAGGTTCCATTTAGCTTTGAAACATGTTATTTTGTACTAAAACTTTTATTTTAACTTCTAATTAAATAGTAATGGTGAAAAAAATACAATTCTGGTATTTTTGGTATATACATACAGACTGCATAAGTGGGTTCATGGCAGGGGTGCCCATTGCCTAAATACACTGTGCTGGAAGGTGTCCCTCTTCTCCATCTCATAAGGTTGGGAGGTATGGACAGGGCTTCCCTTTACAAAATGTTTGTACTTTATTAATGCAATTGCCATTGAACAGCTCCCCTTCAGCATCTGCCGTAGTGGAGCCATGCCTAAAGCACACATCAGATATTGGCAGCATGAAATGTATGTTCCAGAATCATGCTGTCTTGAAGCTCCTGCCTTCCTCCTGTTCAGCCAAACCTTCTTTTTAGATGTGCTCCAGAGGCTGTTAACGTTGCCACCCAATTTTATTTCATTAACCCACATTTCAGCAGTAAACTTGCAATGAGAACATCTATTTTCTATTCTTTACCCTTTTGTTTTTGGATGCATTGTTGTTTTCCTATTGCTTGTCATCACCCCCACCCAAAAGTAAAAAACATTCTCTCTCTTCTCCCTGCTGTAGACTTCATTGGATGTTGGAAAGAGGTTAAATAATTTTGCCCAGATAGAAAGGCTTTGATGGTTGAGGTTGACAATCACTTACTTGAATAGTCGAGATTCAGTCTTCCCAGAACACCTTTTAAAAAAAATATATTTAAAATATTTGTTATTTTAAATGGTTTTTAAAATATTTTAATATATGATTTTATTACAGTCAGGTAAATAAAACGATATATACCGGTAACCCCCTTAAATTATCTATAGTGTTAAAAACTCCTCTGCAATATCTATCAGGAAGCCAGCTGGCGGGTAATGATAGGCTGCCTGGCTTCCTGATTGTTCGGGAAGCTGGCTTCATGTTGTTTGACCGGCTCGATTGTGATTGGTCGGGAAAGCCGGCTTCCCAGCCAGTCAGCATCGAACCGGACAAACAGCCGTCTCCTTGCTGATTGGCTGGAATGCCAGCTTTCCAGCCAATCAGCATGGAGCCGGCTTCCCGGCCAATCAGCATGCCAGGAGTTGAGTCATTAATTGCCGCCTCGCTTCCTGATTGGCCGCCTAGATGCTGAATGGTTGGGAAGCAGGCTTTCCCGGCCAATCACAATCAAGCCGGTCAAACAACGTGCATGTCATTACCCGCCAACTGGCTTCCTGAATGCCCAGGAAGCTGGCTCCATGCCAGCGGAAGCACCAGTATCTGTAGTCAGTATCGGCGACTACCAAAAGTAAAATATCAGTATTCGTACTTGATTCCGAAAAAACGGTATCGGTGCATCCCTACATGCAACTGTTTTCAGAGCTAACCTAAAGTCACATTCACACCTGTAGTTTAGGTGTGTTTAGGGATTCATGTGTCAGGAACTTGCAATTTTCTGCAGCAGGAACCCGCAACTGTCATCCATTTGAGTTAATGATCGGGTGACAGTGATCACATTTGAAAGTGGCACAGTCGATACATCCAGGGAGAGTGATTGATTCCTAACAGCAAGTAATGGTATCACGCTTGACTGCTTTCAAATGTGCCCGCCGATCATTAACTTGAACAGCTTGTAAACAGCAAATTTCTACATAGAAAAGAAAGAAATCTCCCCAGTGGGACAGACAGCAAGAAACCCAAACTGACAGATGTTTTAATCCTTCCCTATTCCATACTGGACACAAAAATGGCAATAGATACACCTTAACCAGGGGCAAGTGATATCTGCTGATGGATGAAGAATCCATTAAACTATTCTTCAAAGGACTGTACAGTGAGTACGTTGTAAACATAGATATTTTATTCATTAACATAATGCAAAAATAAAAGTACAAAAAAAAAATAACTGAATGCAATGAGATTGCTTTAAACCATGTTATACATATTATATATATACAATATTTGTTCGTGGCACACTGAAGTCTCCATATAATACAGTTCTTGTTCCATGCGTTTTGTAGATGTGGCTTTAGGGAAGAGCTCAGTAGATTTCTAAATAATGTCAAATCTATTTACAAGGAGAGTCCATTGGAAATCATCTGTGTGGAATTCCCCCATCTTCTTGGTGTCACCTGGAAGAATGAAAAATGGATTTTGTTGTTTTTTTTGTTAGTGTTCAATTTTCACACTGCTGATAGTACATGCATTTGTAAGGACGGCCGTAAATATTACACAGCAATTGCAATCTGACCAATTCTAGCATTGAATTTCTGGTGCTGACTGTAGCCATTGGTTGGAAGACTCCATACCAAACTGTCAGTTTTTAACTAGAGAATTGTATAAGATTTGGCGCATATACCCATCCCCTCCACATGGACCTCTACTTCAAGAGTTTTTATGCAGAGCTTTACTTTAGATCTCTTAGTTTATGTTAACACCTGTGCATGTGTTACAGTGCCCATACAGGTTTACACCCGTTAAGGTGGGGAGCGTTTGGAAAATCCATTTATTTAAATGGGCCCCCCATTATGTAACTACAACACATGATAGCGTGTTTGTAGTGTGACTTCATGTGCATTCGCTGAAAGCAGAGGTTTGAATGGTGGCTTGAAGTAGAATACCTGGTGATCCTGCAGTTAAGATCCTTTCCTGATATGAAGAGACCACTACCCAACAGTTGTGCTCTTGGGTTATCATCTACAGGTGAAACTCGAATAATTAGAATATCGTGCAAAGTTAATTTATTTCACTAATGCAACTTAAAAGGTGAAACTAATATATGAGATAGACTCATTACATGCAAAGCAAGATAATTCAAGCCATGATTTGTCATAATTGTGATGATTATGGCTTACAGCTCATGAAAACCCCAAGAACCCCAAACCCACAACCTCAAAAAAGTAGATTATTACATACAATCAATAAAACAAGGATTGTACATAGAACAATATCGGACCTCTGAAAAGTACAAGCATGCACTTGGTTTGGGCCCCTTTTGCAGCACTTACTGCAATTACTTTTGCACGATATTCTAATTATTCGAGTTTCACCTGTATATACGGATGTCCTGCTGCACACCTTACTGGATATCCCAAAGATAAACAAGCTGGGTGCTCAAAGTGACCGCGGATGGCGCCGCTTGCAACAGAATTGGTAAAACATTTTGTGTGCTGGTGGCATTTTTACCAACTTGTGTTATCACATGCACCCTGGTGGGGAATGCAAGCAGCAGTGTTAACACATCACATTTATCAAAACCGAAGCAGACAGAATCTGGAGCAGCTGTGGATAATAACCAATCAGCTTCTCTCTCTCATTTACAAAGCTTAAATGAACAAACTGAAGAGAGAAGCTGATTAGTTACTATGGTATCTGTCTGCTCCAGTTTTGATCAATTCCCCCCATAGTCCATTGTTGTCTCTGCAAGGAAACTGGTCCAGAACAATGATACGCATTAGAGTGTGTGCATGTACACATGAAGTGGCTGAAAGAGGACAGAGCAGATTAGCAGGACTGAAATGCAAAAAAACACAAAATTATGAAAATCCTGAAAAAAGTACTTAACCGCTTGAAGACCAGGTGTTTACACCCCCTTCCTGACCAGGCCATTTTTTTGTATTCAGAGCTGCAGTACTTTGATATTTATTCCGTCATGCAACGCTGTACTGAAATTAATTTTATACCATTTTTTGGGGACAGATAGAGCTTTCTTTTGGTGGTATTTAATCACCACTGGGGGTTTTATTTTTTACTATATTTAGGAAAAGTTACTGAAAATTTAGAAAAAAATACGTTTTTTTTTTAACATTATGTTAGGAAACAATTACTATTACCCAATTTTGTGGTAAAATATAAAAGATGGGGTCACATCGGGTAAATAGACACCAAACAAGCTTAAAAAAGCTTAAAAATTGCGTGCACGCGCGAAATAGCAAAAAACTACCATACCCAAAATTGACCATTAAAAGCTTTTACAGATCATCGGTTTAGTGTTATCAGTGATTGATGGCCCTAAAATGATTGCTCTCACTGCGACGTTCGCGGCGATATGTAACATGTGCAGCGTAATGGGCGCAATGGTTGTTTTCGCAGGTATGGGCACCTGACGCATGTTTGCATGTGTGTATGTATGGGTGGGGACTTTTTTTAAAAAAATGTTTTTTTTTTAATTCTTTTTTATGTGTAACTTTACATTATTTTTTTTGGCCACTTTAATTTTTCTTCCTATTTTTTTTTGCTTCATCCTTCGGCTCTTTAGTGAATAATCCTGTAAATGTCATCTAGTCAAGGTTTGAATCTACTTAAACATTCCAACATTGTATTTGTTTAATTCAGTGTGTACTATATAAAACAAATTTGAATCAATGTAAACGTTTTGCTTTATAATCGGTTCAAAATTGTTTTATAATGAGGTAAACCACAATGTTGATGTCACGTGAGATATTTACATAAGCTCAAATCAAATCTATATTGTATAAAATATTATACAAAAATACATATTATATAAAATGTCTCTTGACCCTTCTAGGAGGCTTGACGTGAATATGGGTTTGTTGTGCCAGCATAAATAAATTACCCTCAAAGAGACCCTGTCACCAAATAAGAATATCGCTAGTAAAGCCACATAGAATCAAGTATTTTAAATGCTGGCATTATTTTCCTTTCCATTAATGATTTTTGTATTCAATTGCAATATGCCGTTAAGCTAGCTAGAAAATGTGACTACTCCAGGAAGAGTCAGTTCCCCAGCGTAGTTCCCTCCTTCCTTGCACATAGTTACAAAGTTACATAGTTAATAAAAAAAAAAGAAAAGAAACCTAAAACAGAACACAATGTCCACAATTACCCACCATTGATCCAGAGGAAGGCAAAAAAAAACCCTATAAAGCATGGTTCAATTTTCTCCAACAGGGGAAAGAAAAAATTTTCTTGATTCCATAAGGCAATCAGATATTCCCTGGATCAACAATCTCTGATGCTTAATATACCTCTAAGAACTCAATATCCAGTAATATTCTGTGTATTTAGGAATGCATCCAGATTTTTTTTTAAAACAGTTAACCGAGCTAGCTAGAGTTAGCTCCTGGGGGAGTCTTTTCCACATTTTCACAGCTCTAACTGTGAAGAATTCTTTCCATATGCAAAGGTTAAACCTCTTTTTCTCCAGACACAAATAGTGCCCCCTTGTCATTTGCAGTGACCTTAAAGTGAATAATTTGGCACCAAGGTCACTATATGGACTATTTATGTATTTATGCATGGTGATCATGTCCCCCTTAGTCACCTGGATGTGTCTAATTACTAATCTCTGCACTGCCCCTCTCCTCACCTCTCTACATAACCTTTTACGTAGCAGCCGGGGAAGGAATGAAGGGGAATGTCATAAAGTGTAATTTAAGGGGCAGCTCTGGAGTCTGCTGCGGCTGCTGACATGACATCCAAGATGGTGGCACCCAGCAGACGTCTTAGAACTTTTGTATGTCTACACAAGGGAGGATTTACAAGTAAATAACATGTATAAATACACACAAGATTTTTGTTGACGTGGCAACATAATCTCTTTAAGGTAAGTTGGCGTTGTTAAGCAGACACAAACAAAGTAGAAATCACTTTTAATTCCTGCTGACATTGTAGAGTTACAAGCAGGAAAAAAAATCAATAATTTTGCCAACAACTTTTTTGTCAACAATATCTCTATGAAATAGGGATGCACCGATACTGTTTTTTCAGTATCAAGTACAAGTACCGATATATTTGTCTTTCAGTACTCACCGATAACGAGTACTGATACCGGTACTTCCCTAGCATGGAGCAAGTCCATATAGTGACCTTGGTGCCCTGCTGGGCTAGGAGTCAATTGCATGCTCCATGTTTCTCCCTCTGAACAGAATCTCCCTCTGAACGGAAGTACCGGTATCGGGGGTAAGTATCACAGCATTTGGGCTAGTATCAGTATCGGTGCATCCCTACTATCAAATATAGGTAGTTTCAAAAAGGCTATGGTCACAACAAATGTGTCAGCTATTATAAACATTTAACATTATTCATTTTACTGTTAGGCTCTGACGGTGGGAAGGTAGTACATGGCCACTGGGAGGTGTGTTGTGGTGCCTTTCAAATGAATGGCAACACAAAGCACCCAGCACATGGTACTGCTTGCTATGTACACTGTGCCATGGTGTGTGCTAGCTGTATGGTATCTTGCGTTTAGTGCAGTGCTCTAGGTGTGAACAGGTCCTAATTCTATCCAGTTTATTTCATAACTGACACTCCTCTTCCATACTACACAACCAGACAGGAAAGAGCCCATTTTTCTGATTAAGCCCCTGCAATTTCCATTGTTACCTCTCTACCTCCAGTCTACTCATCAGACAATCACCAAGAATCATCAGCTTAATCCAATCAGAATGTCAAGAAGCTGAATAGAAAAAAGCTGAGTGGCCTTTCTGGGTTCAAATCTGGGTACAAATCCTTTGGCTAATAAATTAGTGTACATATACAGTCATGTGAAAAAGAAAGTACGCCCTCTTTGAATTCTATGGTTTTAAGTATCAAGACATAATAAAACTCATCCGATCCTTAGCAGGTGTTAAAATTAGGTCAATACAACCTCACAAGAAAAACAACACGTGACATATTACACCGTGCCATTATTTATTTTTCAAACATAAAGCCAAAAATGGAGAAACCATGTGTGAAACACTAAGTACACCCTTACTGTTTCTATAGGCATTAAAAGGCTAAGTAGCAGCCCGGTGCTGCTAATCAGGAATTTACAGCCATTAGGCTCCTGGAAATGCAGGACCATGACTCAACAACCCTGTTCAGCTGTAGTTTTGCACAGGCAGATAAAGTGGTCAGAGTGATCTAGGATTACTACGCCTCCATTTGTAAAGTCTCCTATGCATGTTTCACCCACCAAAAGTCTAGTTGTGTTAGGCTGTTAGGCTCAAATTAAAAAGGTCTATACTTTTGTGTTGGTGCCAATGCCTCTTCAGGCTATACAAACAAAGTCAGAATACTCCCCCTCATCTTTCTGCATGTTAGACAGCAGATTTGGAAGCAACTGGTCATAGTGGAAGAGAAAATAAGTTTTGTGAGTTCCCTTGTAATTTATTATTTATTAATTTTT